ATGTCCACTGGGTCGTAGCCAGGCCCTGCAAATGTGCGTCCACTTGCTTGGGACCCTGGAACTCCTGCAACTGCTGGATGCAAAGACTCACCACGGCCATTCCCTTAACGCCCCCACCCACCAAGGAATGCCACCCTGAACTGGATTCTGGACACCACTTCACCACAGCTGAGCAAATGAGATGCCAAGCCTCTCAAATACACACCACTGGTACCATGGTCAGCTTCTTTTGCATGTTTAATAAAGACTAAAGTTGATCCGGAAAATTCTGTAATGTTAAGCCATAGAAATACACAATTTCTACCATATTCAGAAAGATGTATGATGAGTAATAATCAAAAAGACACTTTCATAAGAAGCATAAGAATTTTTTTTTTAATGTCCCTATCGACAATGTAACTTCCACTTAACGGCCACTGGGTAAAAACATCATCTAAGACTATTTGTTTTCACCTGATTCAATCTCAGAATTCTATAACGGCCTAGACTGGAGTTTCAATAATGGCGAATTGTTGAATATTACGGACGTCTCTATCCAAACACTTAAGACAAATCATCTCGGGCGGTTTCAAATTAAAAGCTTGTAAAATATGTAACCTCTCCTAGTTTTTGCAATTAATAGGGTACATCTGCAATTAGCCTGACTTACTGAATGCAGTGCGGTTGTCATTAAAAGACGTCTGTGAAAGCGCTGCTGTTATTATGGAGGCTCAGGAGACCGATCCCTCCTAGAGGGCAAACAGCGGACCGGTAGAAAACAAGAGCCATAAATCACACTGTCAGGCAGCGGGGCGAGCGGGCTGCAGCACAGGCACAGGAAGGCCATTCACGGGAAACACAGCGCGGCTTCCCGGGCAGGATTTACGGCACCTGTAATTAATTAAAATTTCCTTCAAGCTAAATCTTTAATAAACAAGGATTTGTGCTGACAATGAAGAAAAAAGGGTCTCCAGCAACATAATTCTACAATCTACCTCACAGAACAAGCATATAGCATCTATCATTTCATGTATCAGGTGTATACACCGTCTCTCAAGTTAATAGGAATTACATCACTTTGTGTTATAATTTGTGTACTTGGAATTGGCCTGAAATATTTAGGATGCTTGAGGGACCGTGTGGCCCTTTTCTACTTTTATTTGCTATGTTTTTGCCTGACTCCCTTCCAGCTCTTTAAAAAGCCAAGTCCTCTGACTAGTGTTCAGAAAACGGGCCTTTTTAAAGAACACGTGATGGCAGTTTCATCAAACAGCCATGTTTTCCTGTGGTTTGTTCTTTAGTCACACCTTGTGTTTCGCAAAAAGAACTTTAGCATGCTATTTCACCGTATCCACTCGGGGCCAGATGCATCTGGATGTGAGGAAAAAAAGGTCTAGACGTGAATGCCCACGAACACGTTTGATAAAGCAAGTGTGAACCTTCAAGCTAGCAAGTATTTATATTGAATCAGTCAGAAACAGCAGAGCATCTTTTCTTTTGACTACCGGGAAGAATGGGTCTATGACATTCTTTGTTTCTAACCGTCCAAAATTACCTGAGTAAATGTTACCCGCCAAGGACGACACTAAGCTTTTCATGCATACCTATTACCTCAACAACTCTTCACAAAATTACCAAAAAAAAATACTCATTTTTTGGAGATCAAACTAGGCTCAGAGAAGCTAAGTGATTTGTTCAAGGTCACAAAGCTATAAAATGGCAAATCCAAGATTCAAACCCTGATCTGGTAATGATAAAAGCTACACTTTGGAACCTTTGTGCTATTTTTGCATTTCCCACTCTTATGCCCCTAAATGCCACAAGTTTGTCAAAACGCGATAAAACTCTTTGAATTATCAAAAATACTCCACAGAATTACTGTATCTGTAGGATATAACAGGAAAAGGTGGGAGAGACAAAGTGACTACTGGTTCAGAATACAAGCAAGAAATTTCTCATTAAACATCTTCCAACAAATTGATAAAAAGGGTCCTTAATAATAAAATTAACTTCGTAACACAGTGCTAAAGATACCACCACCCACTGTGAGTTACGGATAAGTACAAAACTGCCTTCTTTTATTATCTTTTCAGATATTTTCTCTCCCCAAGAAAATGACTAGCTTTTCAAGGTCAGTTAAAAACATCATATCCATATTTTGGAGCCCTGACAGCCTCAAATACCTGCAATGTCATGTTTATAGTTACTCAAGAAATGTATTTTAATCAACTCATGTATCAAGTTTCTCTGTTAGAAAAGAGGGATCATAAAACATGAGAAAAGGAAAATCTTAGATTCCTATGAAATGAGATTTCAATTGACCATTAAAAGAAGATCCAGAAGACTGAAAATGTCTTTATCTGATTTGATTGTTTGGTTGAAAATACTAGCCACGTATTTTTCTGCATGGTTGCTGGGTTTGCATTTGATAATTCTAAATTATGCTGTCAATCAAACAGAGTATTAACAAAGATAATAGAGGGTCACATGGTGAGAGAAGTAGGAAGCTAAAAGGCAATGTAAGAAAGAAGAATGACGGATGCGTTCCATTCAGAAAAGTGATCATCTGATGCCTGTGCTCTAAATGAAAATTTTTTTAATTTTCAAAATTTCATGTCCTATCAGCTACAACAAATCATTAGGAAAATAAAGGCAATCTACTTGAATGATAAGCAGAACAATTACTGAATTAGTACTTTTAAGTTTTCTAAAGAGAAATTCTCTTCTCTTCCATATTTTCTCCAGCACTGAATGTCCCTATGCCAGAGTGCCATTATCTGGACAGGCCCGTGGGCACAGAAAGCTCCCCCATGGAGAAAAAGAATCTCAGCTGATAAGGACAGAAAGGAAGTCAAGCATTAGATGCTGGGTTAGAGGTCAGACAGAATATTTGAAACATGATTAAAAAACATATTTAACTGTAATCTAACACATTATCTGCAAGCCAACAGGTGTGCATGGGGTGGTGACAAAGATCTTCATGAACAAATATTAAAAGGAAGGAGCAAAGGTATCAAATGTCACTTTGGTGTTTGAATCTAGCAGCCGGAGTTCTGATCTTGGAAGTGTTACTAACAAGGTCTGTGCAAAGGACTTAATGTATTTTTAATGTGTACTCATCACAAATAAACTGATATTAACAACGATAAACAATAAACTGTGTTTCTAAGTCGAGAGTATGGTTTGTAAGATGCAAACGAACACCTTTTTGGTCTTTTGCATGCCAACTTACATCTTTAGAGATCGGGGATACTTTATAATGGAAAAGAAACAGAGTTAATTAAGGGTCAGAGGAAACACACATGTCTACTGCTTTTCCTCAAAAGTTAAATAAGAAACTTCAAGGTAAGGTCCTTAGCAAACTGTAAAGCACCAAAAAAATTATGAACAATCACATATATGCATGTGTTTGTGTGTGCAAAACAACCTCAGAAGATGGAATCACAGCAAACAAAAGTGAAATATCTATTCTCTAAAGCTCTGCCCTCCAAACAAGGAAGCAGGGCACCAACAGAGACATTTCATTTACATGAAAATAGTTCTTCAGGTTATAATAAAAGAGGAAATGCAGGTAAGCTATGATAAAGGTGAAAGTGAACATATGCCCTTCAGTAGCCAGAAAGAGATAAAGAGGAACATAAGGAAAATGTGCCTTTTAAAGAGAAACATCAGTAACGAATCCTGCTGGGTTTTGCAATACAAAACATTAAGAAATGTCAACAGACGATGGAAATGAAAAAAGGCATCAAAAATGTTTTACGAGGGTGACAAAAAGATATTTACAACAATTTGGTTTGACTAGAAAAACAATCTAAATGGTTATTTTTATGCTGTTAAAAATCACTGTTTTGTTTTGTTTCATTTCGTTTTGTCCACAGCATTAACCCTACTTCATTAATTATTTTAACTCAGTTTGTTTTCCATTTACCATTTAAAATTCAGGGCAAAGTCAGCTGGTGTAACAGCAGCTAGGATAAGCAAGATCCCATCTCACCAGACTTGAGCTACCAAATTACAGATAGTCCTGATTCACTTCGATCAAAAGTTGCACTTACTCATGATCGTGAACAAAACAGGAGTTTGGAGGAAAGGGGTACGGGGCGAAACTGCAGAAACAATGGAGTTCAGGAGCCCACGTGTCTTAACTCAGTGAGACAAACATTCAGCAGCTCTTTCAGGTATGCTGCTCTCGTGTGAGTCCACGAGAGCTCACTCAAGAGCTCCAAAGACTTGGGAAAGAAAGAATTCACAGCAAACTGCCACTTCGTGTCAATAAAATAACCTGCAAACCCATGGTGAAGAAGGGCAATTATTAGCTCTTCAGCAAATGCTTATGGGCACTTTACACAGCTCACAGTCTGGATGGTCAGAGCTGAGAATTAAAAAAGCATAATACAACCTCTCTGTGCTACCCATGTGAGCACAAATAACCTCCTTTTTAATCATGTGACTAAAATTACACATTAGTGAAGAAATTCAAAATACAGTGCTTGTGCTTACATGATGACCAAAGATTCAGAGAACACAATTTAACAAAAAAGCAATAGGAAAAGCAACAAATTAGGAAATTCTCAAAATGGCAGGTTGTTCTTTTGTTCATTAAAAATATGTTGAAAAGCATGTTAAATGCATTTACCAACGAGGAGTTATTACATTACACTTTCCTGAAACTGTGGAAAGCCACTAATGGACCGAATCCGACTAGTTAACTGCTCTCTAAGCCCCCAATGTATGGTCCCACTCACACTAGCAGGCTCGTGGTGCACTGTCCGTGCCCAGTTGGTGTTTTGCTGGACAACAAACACGTCTCAAGGCCACTATGAACCGTTAGAATGATAAAGCCTACATTCATAATTGTTTTGAAAATACAGAGCTCTAAATTACATCAGTAACAGTAATGCATAAAAGAAACACAGGAACATATATCTGAGAAATACAGGGATCAAAGGAAAAACAAATATGTAAAATGGAGACGTTTAAAACCAAGCAAACCAACAGGTACTGAAGTATTGTAGTGTTACCTTTTTTTGAGTATAGGAGCCGGTTTCATGTAGAATTGCCACTCTGAACGGAGGCCACCATGTATGAAATTCCTTCACCCACTGATGCATCACTGTCGTTGGACAGACAATTATAGTCGGACCCAACCCCTTGAACCTGCACCCAAAACGTCCAAGAAAACACAACCATGAATGACAATATATGGATGATTAACCGCCAAAAAACAAGAAAAATAAACAAACAGGAAGGTAATCATTTAAAAAAGAAAAGCCTAGCTTTGGAAATTTATCGATATTTTCTTTAAAGAAAAAGCTGTTGAGGTTAACACCCAGTAAGTGAAATCTAGAGTAAAGTAAAAGAAAATGAAACAAAAATTACTAACAAAAATACTTTCCTTTCCTCTTCTATTCCAGGTGAGGGAAGCCGTTATGTATCTCTTCAAACCTAAGAGAATCATAGCAGTTTTCACCCACACGATTTCAGTCAACCTCCCAGCCATGGGAAGTAAGCAGGACAGAAATGCTGCCGTGCTCGGGGGCTCTGAAGGCTGGCATGCCCAAGGCATCGTGGTTACCAGCAGACGCAGCAATGCCTACAGTCAATCTCCTGACCGCCGCGGCCTGCTCGCTTTGGGGTGGGGGGGGGGGGGGGGGGGGGGGGGGGGGGCATCACACTGACCACTTCCCGTGGAAAGCCCATAGCAAGAGTGCAGCTGTGCTGTCTTGTGGGAAGCAGCAGAGCACGACACAGCGAGAGGCTTAATAGCAGTCACCCACTGACCCAGCAGTCCCAAACAAACACTGACGTACGGGGATATCCACTGGAGCATTATCTACACTGTGGAAAAAGTGGGTGCCGCCTAAATGTCCATAAAGACAAGGGATGAACAAACCATTCCATTTCTTTAATTCAGCACAAGCTAGTCGTTAGGAGCGCTGCCTGGGTCTGAACCCCCCAGCTCTGCACACATGAACTGTGTGCATGATCTTGCGCACATTACTTAACCTCTCTGAACTTCAGTTTCACATCTTAAAACGGGAGTAGTAATAGTACTGATCACATAGGGTGAAATGAAGATTTAATTCAATTAATACCTGTAAAGTGTTCAGAACAGTGCCATATGGCAAATATTATAAAGGCTTATTAAATAACATGGAATATCAGAGAACCATTAAAATCACTTTTGAAGAATATTTAAAAACCTGGGAAAATGCTCATAGGAAGTCTTTTAAAAAACAAAACTATCTACGGAATCACTCCAACTCACTTTCACACAGAGAGCCAGCAGATTGGTGGTGGTGGCCACTATCTCAACATCTCTCTCTCCCGCTCTCCTTCCTAACGGAACCATGACTCTGTGCGGGTGTCCCCTCTTCCTTCCCACACTCGTACTTGATGGGGTTCTGACCACTGCCTGGCTTGGCAGAAAGATGGGAGAAGCAGGAACCCAGGTTCATCCACAGCTGTCAGCACGCAGTAGCACCCCCCCACACACACACACCCCTGGCACTGTTCACTCTCCCACTCAGGGCCTCGCTCAGGGTGAGGAAGGAAGGACTTCCATTCCAGGCTGGGGGAGAGTTTTCTCTCTGGTCTCTCCTACTGCATGTGAACAAGGAAGCGTAGCCAGTGACTGCCGGGCAGTTGGGCTACAGTGCACGGAGATCTGATGGCTACCACGATAACTGACGTTCCGAGAAAACTGAAGTCCCCGGGTCCCCATGATGCCCTTGCTAGGCTGTGGATCATGCTGTGTCTACTCCCCGCCTCCTCTGTAGGTTCCTAGGTGTATCACATATATTGTGAACGTCTGACTCAACGTAACGTTTTGCCTACTTGCAGCCACAATACCCTAATACGCTGCCACCGCAGGTAGCTGAACGCGCACCACCCTGCCCTCCTTCCCCGGTTACGGTGGAACCGGCGTCCGTCCTCTTGTGTGACCAATCCCTCTGCCTGCGCTCGGGGCCCATGCCCCGCTATGTCACGGCTCCCATTACTGTGCCCACTTCTTCCTCAGTCCTGCTGGGAGCTGGGCACCAGTTGGTACACGAGATGAAAATTAAGCAAAAGTCAGACTGACTACAGCAATTCAGCACTAGGCTCACGCTCAGCTTGTGCTACAGGAGGCAACTGGGAGCCAAGACTGACTGAGGACGCTAAGGCCACAGGGCCTACCTTTCACTCACGCCGGGGCAGAATCACTGCCACTCTCCCCCTGCCCCACCTTTCTCTAAAAGCCCAACAAGGATGTTGAATACCTGAAGCTAGGTGCACACTGCACATACTCTCCCCAGGTTACCTCATCAATTCCCACAGCTGCAATTACTCCCTCTACACAGATGACACCAAATCTAGGTCCCCAGCCCAGACCTCTTTCCTGAACTCCAAAGTACCATACGCTTGGATGTCCAACCACTGGCTCTCCACTTACATGCCCCCATGACATCACACATCATCCTCCCCCACCTCGCCCTCTTCCCATGTTTCCAAACCCAATGGAAAGAACGGTCACCCACTATCGAGGTGCCCAAATTCAAAGTCCATGCTTCATCACTGATCTGTCCCTCTTGTTCTCTACCTACTCAACCTACACTGAGTTATGTCACGTCTACCTCCAAGAAAGGCACCCTGGCTCTCCATCGATGCTGTTGATACTCCAGGTCTGGCCACTATCACCTCTTACCTAGGTTACTGCACTTTTTAGCACAGACATTTCAAAAAAGCAAAATCTGAGTGTCTCATTCCTTCGCTTGAGAGGCTTTAATGTTTGCCCACTGCTCTTGAATAATCTACCCACCTTAAGCTGGTCTATGAGACCACAAGGACTGACCTCTGCTCACCCCTTCAGCCTCACCCCTCTCACTGCCCCCACCCCAACACCTGCCTCTGTGGTTCAGCACTCCTCCTGCCAGCACTGTCCTGAGCTCCAACGAAGTACAGACGCCTCTGATCTCTTGAAATTCCCCGTGTCCTTCGGAGCCCTCACCCTAGCCGCCCTCTACTTGTGCCTTAGCCCCGACGTTCTTTTACAGTCTTCCTTTTTCTCTCTGGAGGAGTTAAGCATCCTTCCTTGGTATACCCACACTAGTTAGGACCCCATACTAACCCTACCATAACATGCATCACTCGTATTGTAACTGTGCATGAGAGCCTTCCTAAGGCCCTTGAGGGGAGAAATGGCCTCTTCTTCAAATGCTGAGACCACAGGACGTAGTTAATGAATATTGGTTTTATTAAATGAAAACATTTTCTTAAAGGTTGTTAGAAAATATACTGAAATGTTAAAAGAGATTATTTGTGAGTTAGGGAATCATGGGTAATTTTTATTTTTTTGCCACAGCTCAGTAAATAATTTCTGAGCTTAAAAAAATTTTTTGTAAGTCACTCAGAGTAAATCACACAGTGCTTGAAATATTAAAAATAATCTTCCACACAACTCAAAAATACCTGTAGTTCTAATACAGAAACAAGCCATAACTGAAATGAGGCTCACCCTTACATTCCAATGTGACAAAATGCCTCCATCCACTTCTAAATCCTCTCACCCCTCAGCTACAGCCGCTGCCCCTGCCCCTCTGCTCCATATTAAGGGCTCAAGAAGTAGAGGCTACCACAGACTTTCCATCTCCCAAAGAATTCCCAAGCCAGGCTCTGCTCCTCACTAAGGGCAGGTCCCCTGCAGGCGTCCCCTCAAGCTCCCTGGGGATGGCATGACTCTGCTCTGGCCCCTCCCATGACAATATTTCTTTCTAAAAGGATTAAATGCACCACCTTCTTTATATCCTCCATAGGGAACAAGAGTTATTATCAATATGCACTTCGCAGGGATTAGGAAACAACCAATCAAAACCTGTTTAAAATATTTACAAACAAAGTCACTTTCAAATAAGCATAAATATATACACATGCTTTATTCAGCTATATAGCATTTTTTCTTTTTATCACACGCTTAATGCGAACAGCTACACTGATGACTCACGCTGTGTCATTTAGGGCCAATACTTTATATTCTAGTTGAACACAAATCTGGCATTATGATGCCCTTTCATTTCTGCCATTCTCCCGCTATTAGAAGACTACGGAGGTTTTCACGCTGAGTGGAAATCTAGGAGCAGACCTAGATTGTTCCTGAACCACAGGAGGGGCAATCAAATCCATTAACAGTCACATCAACTGAACCACCCTTTTCCAACCCTCAAAACCAGTGAGATGAGCATAAGAAATGGCTAAATGTACTAGAGTGATTAGCCTCAATTACCAAACTGGCTAAAATTCCTTTCATCTTTGATTAGCATTGATTATCTAATGAGTTTAGGACAAGCCAATAGCTCCAATGGTCAAATACTTCAACCTACAAGACGGAAATCCAGCTATCCACAGGCTAGTAGAACTTATTACGAGGAATTACAAAGTAAAATATTTACCTCTGAAAGTTCATTAACTCGTTCAGGCCATGTTGTTTGTAACCAGGAATTAGTAAATGATATCGAAGGCTTTAAAGTGTTAACTGAAGTTTGAAAGGTAAACAGTTTATTTCCTCATCATGAAATTCAGGGGACCGACTGCAGTACGAGCGGCAGAGAAAGGGAGCAGAAGGGAGGAGAAGGCAGTATACACATGATGAGCTGGGAGCACAAAACCAGTACAGACTTTTATAACCGCGGGCAATAAGCTTCTCCCCATTTTAAAAACAAACACACATGCAAAACACATTAAAAAACAAAACCAAAAAAACTCCTTTAACCATGAAGTTTCTTCTTGGTATCCCAGAGATTTACACTGTTTCAATAATCATAGACCATGAAATTGTAACATGGAGACCATCTCAAGTCTGGGCCCCCAAAGCTACAGCTCACAGGGGTTCCAAGAACATGTAAATAGCCAAAATGAGCCACGTCAGCTCACTGAGACCTTCATATGACCATTCGTCTATTTTTCTTTAGGACATAAACACAGAGAAGAACTCCAAGTTCATCTACTTGCAAGAGGTGGACAGGTTATAAAATTGTGAGAAAAATATGATACAATTTGCTCTGGCACATGGAAGTGGAGGGGACCAAGCTCCCCAGCACACCTCTATTCATAAAGAGCCTGGTTGGCTGATAACATAACTGCATTCTGGGAAGCCACTTCTACCAATACTATTTTAATAAAGACAATCTGGGCTATCGTCCAACATGCCACACTATTTCATTATGGAAAAGAGGATATGAGCATTGATAGTTAATTGATTACAGCTGCTGCTCATTATTAGCCCTGCCTTCACTCCTAGTAGGATTGCCACCACTCTGGAGAGCATGTTTTAATTTTTAGATCAAAACTACACTGCAGGGATGACTTGAGTTTTCGTAGGCCCAGAGTGTTAGACTCCACACAAGTTTCATGATAATAGGAAGGGAAGGAAAGATAAGAGATGGGAAATAAGAAAATCCCAGAAATCATTTAAGGAAAGAAAGACAGTCCTAGAAACAATCTGGGGCAGCCTGGGGCATTCCAGTTATCCAAAAAGAAAAAAAAGAAACAAACAAAACCACCCAGGTAGAGATGCAGAGCCAAGTCAATCAAAGAGCTTATTTAAAACAGAGAAAGCACTTTTTCAAATGCTAAACTAATGACACTCATAGATAGGAAAACACTAAATGCTCATTTTCAACTCTTTTTCCCTTGGGCTGGAATGTCTTCACGGTTCCAAATAAAATATGCAATAGAATTCTAGTATTTGAAGGAAAACCTCTGCTTCAATACAACTTCCATGTAATAACAACAAAACATTTAGTATTTTAAAATCTCTAAATGTTTTTTCCCTTTCCTACATCATATAAAATATTCCTAAAATATTCTAGAACTTCAAATACTCCTCATGAAAAGTATGATCTGTTAAATTAATGAAAAAGGAATAAAAACAAAGCACTATTTTTAAGATTAAAAAAAAAGTTTACTCAATAGTTTATGGTTTGCATTTGGCTCCATACTAAACGTTTCTCTGGGGCTAAACCCGAGTGCAGGACAGTCACTTTCTGCAGTTGTTAGCTTCAGGCACATTGGCACTATGTTAAAGGTGTCTCCAAACCATATTCAGTGAGTGTCTGAGGTTGCCACAACATAACCATCTGGTAAATATCTTGCTGTTACTCATTAGATAAACCTACTTGAATCCAAGGAGCTCTCAGATTTTCTGGGTTCAAGATTAAATATCCTACATAATTCACCTCGTATTATTTTTACCAACACTGATTCACATAAAGCCAATTTACAGCTTCAATATGTAAATAAATGCTCACTGTATTTCATGATAAAATATTTCAGTCCCAACATACTGAACTAACACAGTTTAAATGTTGATTCTTTCCGAATACCACAGTTTTAATAGTTCATTTAAATTCCTAAAGAGAATAAAGACCACAATCTAAACATAATTTTCCATCATTTTAGGCAATCATTTAGGCTTTGGCTTTAGAGTTGATATAAAATTCTTGAAGACTGGGAGAGGGAGAAGAAAGCATAGTGAGCAGACAATGTCATGTAAAAAAAAAAAACCAAACAAACAAAAACACTACCACTATCCGTAAATGCTATCGCACATACTGATTATAAAAGAAATTCGGGAGAATGGCTTCTCCAAAGCTCCAACTTTCCCCATGAACAGACTTTGTACTTACTGTAATGCTCACCTGGTCTCCTGCCAGAACAAATATTTTAATGTAAAATTTAATAAATGGAACTAAAGGTATTATGCCCAATTTAAAATTCCATATTGTGTAAACTATCGATATTAACATAATTGAGTTTGTAAACAATCCATTTGTAGAAGCTAACCTTAGACACTGTATTGACCCAAAATATCTAGTGGGGCTCATCTGCAAAATGAAGCATCAATGCCTGGAATTCATTAAAAGCGTTACATGTTTAATTTCTCCTGCCCTACAGCTCCATTGTCTCGTAAAAATTTTCCTTTGATGTCCCCCACTAAAAGAATTAAAGGAATATTGTAATTGAAATGTCATCAATAATTCACAAGACCCTCCTCCACAGCAATACAGCTGATGAAATATTAATTGAGCTCCACAGACTGACAGTCTGCAGAGGAGCACTTGCCTGTAATTTGAACCACGAGTCCTGATCTTGCTGTAGCTCAGACCTGCCAAGAAGGCAATTATCTGGATGGTCTTGCCCAATCCCATTTCATCTCCCAGAATTCCTCCTGCCTGCTGGCAGTGCAATTCCCACAGCCACCTAACACCTGTCTGCTGGTACCTACAACAACAAACACCAACAAGAAAGAGAAAATGGCAAATGGTGGATGATACAGATCATAACAGAAAGTATTCATGAATTAATCATTTGGCTAGGTTCTAGTACCAGTCAGAGAAACACGCCGGATGTGTGTTTTACATGAGTATTGTATTTATAAGGTCATACATTTTTGATTACCTAGGCATAAAATCACAAATTTTTCTTTATAGAACATGTTAACACATTTCTAATTAAACTGATAGATGACCCGGGTAATTAGGGACTATTTCATTTCTTTTTCAACATTAGAAATAGCTTGGTAAACAAGCATAAATTTATTATATTTTATTCAATATCTTTCCCAAAAAACTCAAATACTTTGTTATATAAAGTTCCAACAATTTTTCTACGAAAAAAGAGGCATTAACATTTACTTTTTCTATCTCAACAGCATCAAAAAGCAAGAGACAGAACACCACAATTTACATCATACACTGTTGAAAAGTCACTTGACCAATTATATTATCTTTTATAGGAAAAGTTTAATTGAATTTTAAGGCCATAAACAAGTCTGAATAAAAGGGCTGCTCACAAAATTAGTACATGACAGATGATTCTCTCGTATTATTAGCAGATGCAAAAAAGAACAGTTTAAAGACACAACAGTACAAAAAATTTTTTTAATTTTTTAAAGCAGAACTTGATTCAGGGGCTTTATCATAAATATAGAGATCAGAGCTATTAAAATTTTAAATAAGGAGTACAAGACAAAGAAAAATAATATGTTCCTCTCTAAAAACAAAGTTGGTATTTTCCTTTCTCCATCAATGGCATATTCAATCTATAATCTAAAAAAAGGAAGCTAAAAAAAGGATTAATGCAAGAAGAATTTTTGAGATTTAAGGAAGAACAACATCATAGGATGGTATGAAAATTATATGCCAAGTTTAAAAACCAATCTAAGGCAAAAAGTATTTAAAAGACCATGAAATCTAGGGGCACCTGGGTGGCTCAGTTGTTAAGCGTCTGCCTTCAGCTCAGGTCACGATCCCAGGGTCCTGGGATGGAGTCCCGCATCAGGCTCCCTGCTCAGCGGGAAGCCTGCTTCTCCCTCTCCCACTCCCCCCTGCTTGTGTTCCCTCTGTCTCTCTGTGTCAAATAAATAAAATCTTTAAAAAAAAAAAAAAAGACCATGAAATCTAAAGATTTTTTTTTTCCCCAAAGAAAATACCAAGGCTGATGAGCTTCCCATCTTAAACACAGGTGGTTTTGTTGTTGGTTTACTGGCCCGATATTTACTCCAGTATATGTGGTATGTCTACCTAAAATCTCACTGTGAACTCTAGTCCTTGTTGAACTAGTTTTATTTCATCTCTTAATCACTAGTAGGGGAAGTAGCTTCCCCTAGAATCAATTCCAAAAATTTACCTCTAGCTATTGCTATTACTATCTATCATATAAGGAAAACTTTGAATGAGAATGTTGCTTATTAAGTTTGCTATTATACACACTAAATATGCACCCTGAAGAAGAGGATTAAAAATCAAAACACGGTGAAGTCTTATGTGGATAAAAGATCATTAAATTGAGGAAGAAGGACAAGTTCTATTAATACATGGTACATAATCAGAGAATAATGGCTAACCAACTCCTTAAGAAGCCAACTGCTGGGGAGGCAGAGGGCCATGTGGTTTGGATATAGCCTCACAACCACCCTACATAAAGATGAGCAACCCATTTTATATTAGGATATGAAAGCACATACAGGTTAAGTAACGTGCCAAAGGTCATACTGCTAGGAAAAAAATGAGCAAGCCTGAACTGAAATCCAGAACCTCTCCTTCCAAAGTGACTCTACTTTAGAGATAATCTTGACCAGCAGTTCTTGATGGGGAGTTATTTTGCTCCCCAGGGGACACTGGGCTATCCCTGGAGTCATTTTTGGTCGTTCAAACTGGTAAAGTACAATTATTATCTAGTAGGTAGAGTCTAGAGATGCTGTTCAACATCCTACAATGCACAGAACAGTCCTTACAACAAAAGAATTATTCTGTCCAAAATGTCAGTTGTGCTGAGGATGAGAAACCCTGATCTAGACTAAAAGCTGACTGTGAACCATTACACTGGACCAATCTCAGCTGTGGATAAAGATGTGGCACAAAAAACTGATGTATGATCAGAAGCACTAAATACTAGTTAATCAACCTCCTTTTACTGAGGTGGAGAACAAGTATGGGAGCAACTCCTCCAGGCAGAGTAAGGACCAAAATCTCCCAGTGATTATTCTAGTGTTCCACCACTACACCACAGCGCCTCCCCCTAACACAGGTCCAACACCTCTTTTTGTTTGGGGCCAATCAACTTAAGGCAGGGAAAATCCTTAGAGGAGACCTTGAGAAACCATGAAAGGAAAAGTGGCAACCTGCATGGTATCCCAAAGGGAGTTTAGGAGGGCATTAAGACAACTGCATCCTATGTGACCCAGGAGAGGCAATAATAGTGTGATGGGTGTCTCCTCATCAACAAATGTAATCTCCAAGAGCATATGATTGTGTGTTTATAAAATGATTAACACTAAAGAAATGGTTTAAGGAAAAATATCTACTAGGTGGCCCTATAAGTCACATCACTACATGTAAATCCCCAACAACTGGGACATCGTACAAAGATGGCAAAGAGTGGCTCTTTCTTTCTACAAACGCCCTCAGACTGCATCAGCACACTGGCTGGCGGGTGTGTGTGGCTGGATGAGGAGGAGTTAGGGGACCTGGGTTCTGGTTTCAGCAGTGCCACTAACTAAGTTAGGTTTTGTTGCTTTGATATCCTAATAAACACTATAAACAATGACATACTTCAAATGAAAGCAAAATAGTTTTCAGAACCTTTGAAAAGCATATAAAAAATTATTCCTTGCAAAGATTTTTTACAAACTATTGTACAATAATAAAAAAATTGACCATACTCTGCTTCCCCCATGAGACTGAAGTATCACAAAATAACCACAAATAATTGGTATATCTTGGCATTGTCACACTAACCCAAGATTGCATTTGCTAGTGTGGCTAAAAGTAAGGTCAAAAGATTGAAGTTTGTCATTTGATTGCCAAATTATACAGATGAATGCATTTGCTGGGCAACCTTTCAAAATAGAATTTTAAAAGTTAAACATGATCTTGCAGAAAATAGCACTTAAATGGATAATTGTACCTCTGACTCCCTTGCGTACAACTATACCCTGTTAATTTAATTCCACAGAGTGCAGTAAATACAGCAAAAATATATCTATGGCTTAAAATTAAACTGGCCTGGCTAAAATTTAATCATAAAAGAAAAATGGAAACTTATCAATCCTATTAATTTTTTTCATAAAGAAAAAGAACAGAAGTTTAATAACACGAAATATTTAAAAACCTGTTTTTGAGAAATGAAACACAAGATACTTTCCAGAAACGTGTAATTAAGACTAATTAAAACAAATATGACATGTATTTACATTAACTACTATAGGGTTAATAGTCAATACACTGAAGCCTATATACTCTTAGTAAGCAAAGTTTGGTTCTAGTAACTGAAATTTCTTTAGCAGAAAATTTCACACTTATACAACAATGCACATTCAACTCGACTCTTGAGGATATATACCAACTTAACTACACATGCAGAAGTATCCTTCTTCATTAAATCAATTTAATTTATAATTTGGGTATTCCTTTTGCTAGTACAAACTGATACTATTTGGACTGTTCCTTAATATGCAATCACTTTAGAGAAGATAAAAAGAGTTGTCAATAAATGTTGTTTACATACCCTTCCATAGTTAATTTTCATTTAGGAGAAGTAATAAACAAAGTAGCCACCTCTCTGGGCTAAGAATGATTTGTCTGCAAAAATTACTAGAGCGATTCAGATTTGAATTTCTACATAGGTTGGCTTCTGCCCAGTTATGGCAACCCAACCAAGATACTTCACATTTTTAGGATTTCAGCTTTCCTATATATTTAGTGGTATAAAATAACTACTCCCAACTCCTTTTGCCCACCCTCCCCTCATTGAGGTAAAAATTAAAACTATAATATAAGCCCCTTGAGAGGAAATATAAAAAACATGTTATTTTTAAACAGACATCCTGCACAAGTTTAAGGCATGGCAGACAACCGAATCTATGAAGGAGATTAAGCATAATCATCTCAAAGAAAGAAGTTTACATGCCACACCCAACTACCAAGTGATGCTACTAAACAGAAAGTAGCTATTTAATGGTTTAACTTCCTATATGCATCGAAGAAGCCTTCCTAAAGTATCTTGTTAAGTAAATCCCAGGAGTGATGAGATTGAAAATGTGCCTCAGTATTTACAATCATCTCGGGAGACTGGCCCAGGCCATGTAGGCTACAGGCATCTATCACACAGCTTCCGGTTATCTGGAACACTCAGCCACTTCACATATGAAACGTAGTCAATTTCAAATAGCAACTTAATGCTGAAGGTGTTTGCCTAGATCTTCTCTTTTGATATTAGAACATCTACATAAAATATTTAGATGCACATTTGGTCAGCTCAAAAGTATTATACCCTTAGGTACAATATAAAACAAACTACTCACAGCAGTTTTTATTTCTACACAGAAGTAAAAAAAAACAAAAACAAAAAACACCTCAATATTGATTTTAATATACAACTCTTCTCACTTAATTCATCTGACTTAAGAAATTAGAGGTTTGGTCCCTTAGAATTACTAAGAACAAAAAAATAATTCAACGTAGATGGCTTTTAAATGTGTTGCTTTCAGCCAGCTGAGACAGGTCCACATAGATTCACCAGCTTACAAACGTGCCCCATGAGCACTTTAGTCAATTTATTATCATCTACTTTTAATGAGCAGCACGTGGCTAAAATTTCATCTGACAGTATCTATATTTGCAATAAACTACTGCAAGTACCTTAAGGGCCCACAGGTAACTACTGAGTCATATCTAAAATATTAATTTGTACACAATGGCTTGACGACAGATATAAAGAAAAGAACACATGGCACATACTTAAAAAGCTTTTTGAACAGAAAACCCGGCATTTTAAAATCATCGAACTCCGCATCGCTCTCCTCAGAATCGTCTTCGAGCTTCAGACACTTCTCTTTGTCCCGAAGCCTCAGCTTATTCCATCTCCTACCATGAAAAAAAAGTCATATTTCCATTATTTTGGTGACAAGACAGATTAAAATACAGTTCTACATAATGCACAGGAAAAAGATGGAAATCAGAATGGTCTTTTAAGCTTTCTGCTACCGTCATTACCCAAAACTCTGATATTCAAAGAAAAAAAATTCTCTTTTCCTTCCTTTTCAATTCAATTCTTTTTTGAATTATTACAGCTGCTTTAGAAATATTTCTGTAAGGTCCCATTTCATTATCAAAACTACTTGTGCCTCTTCTGGCATACCCTAAGGGGAAATTTCTCTGCTACTTCCTAAGATATATGAACTTAATTTTAGAAAAGATTCAGTGAAAATTTCAATATAACTAAGTATCTCCAAAATGGCAATGTAACAAAAAATTGATTTTATTTATAATTACTATTTCTGTGCTGAAGATGTGATAGTCATAGCATACAACAGCATAGTATTTTGAACATAAAGCAAATTTTGGGTCAAAATTTATGCTATATATATATACTATATATCAGATTAACATATTGTTTACTTAATGGGGGCATCAACAATATCAAAGGACTGATAAGTAAACAACTTAGAAAAAATATGTTCACTAAATAAAATCTAAGTTATAAATTTAGTAATATGATGCTTTTCAGATATAAACTGAGTGTTTATATCTCAGAGGAGTGATGCCATGTATGTATACCAGAAGAAATGTCTAAAAATCTGAAAGTCTTAATAACACACTAAGGTTGTTGGGAAGGTGCAGTATTTAACCAGACTAATTCTGCATCCAAATAACTCTATAATGGACACCGGTGTCATGAGTTAATACGTGTGTGTGTGTGTGTGTGTGTGTGTGTGTGTGTACACACACACATACAACTCAATAGCTTCACATTCTATTTACTTCCAAAATAAAAGGATGACCTTTCTCGGTATGCATATTCACAATGTGAATTTCACCAAATGGTGGGAATGGAATAAAGCAATACAGATAAATGCCTTCAAAGTCAAAAGCTCACAGGAAGCGAATGAGAACAGCAACATGTACAAGATGACATTTAACTGCCACTGATTACGTAAGAATACTAAGAGAATGTGTGGGGGAAGGTAAATGAGAAAATGGAAGGATAGTATCATACACGCTGCCTGGTTAGACCAATGGTGTTTTCCAGTATCAATTACCACACCAGCACAGGAGGCCAAACACAAGAGCAACAGGCAACCTCACCAAGGCAGCTGCTGGAGGACCCTAAAGCGCATCCTCTGATAAAGTCCTGCCTTGTTGAGAATGTCAACTCTTTGAAGTAATAAAAGGAAGGGATACCTGAGGTTTAACTGTGATCAGTAAGGAAGAAGTAGCTGGCGATATGAAGCTGCTTCTCAGGGTACTAAAAGTACCTATAAATAAGCACTGTTGGTGATTTCCAGAGAAGAACAGCAAATGTAAGAGGCAGTACATAGCCAAGCCTAAAAAAATAGCTGTCATAAAACCATGAGGTAGTCTTTTTATATAAAATGTTTAATGACCTTCTTGTGCTTAACTTCTAGAGGGAATCTCTTCCTCTTTTTTATTTTTCTTCCTTAAAAATTATCTCTGTGCAACTGATGAAATGAAGTACCTCTCGGTGGCTGTAATCATCTTTGCTAGTCTTCTGAGTTTCATATTATCTACAAATTTGGTTCAGTGCAATGGTATACAGCAGTGGTTCTCAACCAGGGGCAATTTGGCCATCCTCCCCGCCCCTCAGGGTAATTTGACAATGTCTAGAGACATATTTGGTTGTTACAACCACTTTGGGGAGGGAGATACACTACTAGCATCTAGCAGGTGGAGGCCAGTGATGCTGCTAAACATCCTACAATGTACAAGCCAGTCCTCCAAAACAAAATGTTATCTGGTCTTAAATGTCAACAGTGCCAAGGCTGAAAGACCCTGGTATATAGGTAGACCCACTACTGAAACTCAGAAACCAAAATGATGTACATACATTTTCCTGGTGTATATATCTGGATTCTTGCTACCTACTATCTGAAATTTAGTAAGCAAGCAATTTCACATGAGATATTCCTTAGTATCCAAATTCCTTACTGTCAGAACTCAAAACCAAACATCTGCAAAACAAAAGATACTTGTATTTAGCAAATTTATGAATAATACAAAACTCAGAAGAATCACAAAAACTACCACATCCACTTAAAAATACTCCATTTTGCAATTACGCAAAAATAATTTTACAGGAAGAAAAAGAAAAACACCAGAAGACACTGGTTTTAGAAGTTTGGCATAAAGTCATTAAATATTTTACATAAAGAGCATCACATATTAAACTGCATTGATAGATGATAGCTATTTCCTCAGACTCGGCCAGTAAGTCTTTGTGGCTGTTCAATTTCCCACTGCATCACTCTGAGTCAACAGGGCTTCAGCTTCCTCTTTCTCCTCCCTCCTAAAATGTACAGGCATCATGTCACCACAGAACACAGCACCTAGGAAACCACATAAGCCACTGCAGAAAATGATTGCATTCCAGTGCCTTCCGCTTCATCAAGATGAAAAGAGCCGAACGTTTATTCAGTTTGGCTAAAGGATGACTAAAGGTGGTAAGGGAAAAATCATTATTGCCTACAAGCATTTGTATCACGTGAAGACAAATCGCCCCAGTAGAATCATATACACATATTAAAGACAGAAAATACCAGGGTTATAAAACCACATGCATATGCGGCTCAGGCTAAGACGTCCTTCTGTTATAGAAAGCAGTAATTCCTCAGGTGGCTTGTAACCAAAACAGACCTCTGACCAGCTACCCAATGCCCCCGAGGCAGTGCCGCCCCAAGTCCTGACGGGTGAGAAGGACACCAGGGCAGACAAGGGAGGGGGAGGGGGCGCCAGAGTCACCTGAACTGAGAGAAACAGATGCCTTTCCCATCCTAGAGGCCACCAAGGGTCTTGAAGTTGCTCTCTTTTGTGTGCTTGACCTGCTTGTCCTGCAGCCTGGCAGGCTGGGCAATCTGTCTGGCCAGGAGGTGTAAAGGGACCTCTGTACTATGAATAACCTGGGATTGACACATGGAATAAGCACAGGCCAAAACAGGAAAAGTCTGCACCCAGACGGTCTAGAATCAAATCCTGACTGCTTTTTATCGGTTCTTTAACCCTCAGCAAGTCACTTAGCTTCTGTGGCACCTACCTTTCCTCAAGTGTGAGGAGGGGAGAACAATGGCATGAACTTCCCTAGATTGAGGAAGGACTAAATGAGGTGTCACATGTAAAGCACTTTGCATGAGCCTAGAGCATGAGTACTCAACAAATAAATACACCGTTCTACATAATGTCTGCTTACTGAAATCCTCACACAAACTCAGTCATGATCCTCAGACACTGGTACTGTCACTCTGTTCACGTACAGAGAAGTGGAGGCAACATATAGCACAATACAATCCGCCTGCAATAATGCAATGCACCACAATGGCTTAAGAGAACTACCTAAACACATACATTTGGACAAAAACCATCTTTGTGAATCAAATGGATGCTCAAAAAATTATTATGAATAATGTGACCACTGATCACCATGAGTAAACACACCTACCCATCAGAAGGTACCTGCTGGAATACCTCAATTTTAAAATTCTGTAACAGATGTGTAAACACGGAGCTGTTTGAAGTATGGCTGCTTTTTATGTGACAGTAACAAAAAAATAGATACAGAATGACTTAAAATTGGTTGGGGGTAGGTCAAGATTAAGATCTGGACCCCGGTGATTTAAAATTACAAAAATCAGACATGGTCCCAAAATGTCTAAACTCTGTTATTTCAATAAATAAGCTAGATAATGGATTTTAAAAGTTGAAGGGGGCGGTAAATAGTCCAATACTTACATTTTTGGAAAAGAAAGAACTTTTTCATATTTTCTATGCTCTCATTTAAAAACCTCCGCACAAGTCATAGTCACAGCTGCAGCCACATAAAAGCAAGTGGGCCCGGTGTTCCCTGGCAGTGTTTCTAGCTCCTTACATGCCTGCCACCGGCAGCCTGCTAGCGACTCCACCAGCAGCCACTTAGAAAAGAACCCAGCAATAAACATAAACTGACAATTCCAATCAGATGCAGGCAGAGAAACTGCTCCCTGGCTTTGCTACGTTCATGCAAGAACGAGAACCTGACCCAGGCTGTGGGGCCTGCGGCTGAGACTACAAGGGTCTGTCAGAAGCACTCGGACCCAGGGCCGGGCTGCTGGCAACAACGCACGGCGTAACCAGTTGAACTATACCAGGAACAACACTTCCTCCAGGTGCTGGGGCACCTTGTCATTGGAACCCTAAGAATACACCTGAGAGCTAGCTGCCACCATTTAAACTTAATTCTTTTTCAAAGGAGAATTTCCAGAATGCCAAGGATGTTCAAAATATTTAAGTGGGAAAACACAGCTAGCTATCTTTATGCCACTACCTGGTGGTTTCCTCCTTCCTGTGCCATGTGCATTCCTGTACTGTCCCCAACCTCCCTCCCACAAACACACACATCCACACGCTCCATGGACTCTTCAGAGTCTGCTCAAGCAGTGCCTCCAGAGAAGGCAGCCTTCTCTGACCAGCCAGAGTTAGGTGTCCTGTCCTCTAGGTATCTTCCCAAGCCCACAGCACTGTGGGCACACCTGGAGTTTCTACTAGAGCACTCACCAAGTGTTCAGCATCATTTGAAAACCATATCTATCTGCCCCATTGGACCAGGAGCCACCTGAGGCCAGCGACTGTTTTTAGTCATTTTCATACTTCTAGAGACCAGTACAATGGCCCACCTGAACAGAGATACTCAGTAAATGATGCATGAATGAATGAGGTTCAGAATTGGGCTAGGGATAAGGAAGACACCAGGGACAGAAGCGTGGCTTGAGAATGGTCAAAGTAGGTCATTTAAAAATGGGTTCAAGAATAGTCCCGTTCTAGCTCATTTACAGCCTACCTCCTGCTGCATTCCTCCTCTTTCCACATGTATGATGTTA